GATCATTGGATACTTTGGTCAGTGCCGTTTCCACAGAGTGCTTAGCGCGGAAACCAGACTGAAGCGGGTCTAGCAGAGAGTTGGACTCGAAATCTGTCAATCTCGCATACACAATTCTTTCAAGGATCTTGGATGCAAAAGGCAGTAGCGAGATAGGATGATAATTGGATGGGGAGTTAGGGTCAAGATTGGGCTTCTTTAGAATTGGGGTTACAGTTGCATGTTTGAAAGGCGATGGAAATATACCAGAGGAGAGTACCAGAGGAGAGAGAGGGCCAAAGGAGGAGGTTACAGAGAGCAGATGAGAGGCATCAGTGCAATTGGGGTTGTTGATTGGGATATTGAAATCCCCAAGTATAAGGGAAGGAGTGTTAGATGAAAGGAAGTGGGGAAGCCAGGAAAAAAAGTGCTCAATGAATAGTCTAGGATAACCAGGGGGGAGGGTGGGTGGTAGATGATAGCAATTCTTAAAGGAGTGGGTTTAAATAGTGTGACAAAAGAAGAAAAGGATAGGGCAGGGGGAGTTATGATTGGTTGAAAGGTACATTGAGGGGAGAGAAGGATGCCTACACCGCCTCCTTAACAGTTGAATCTGGGAGTGTGAGAGAATTGTAGCCCACCAAAACATAAAGAGGCAGGAGTAGCGCTATCGGAGGTGGACAGCCAGGTCTCTGTAAGTGCAAGCAGCGTGAGTGAGTTTGAGATGAAAAAGTCGTGTATGGTTGTTGATTTTATATTACTGCAAATGGAGTGGGCATTCTAGAGTGCACAATGAATTTTGGTAAGTGAGGGTAAAGGGCAAGGTATTGTGATGAGGTTTGTGGGGTTTATGGTTGTCTTAGTGTGTGTAGAGAAGGTGAAGGACCCTGGATTGGGAGAGACATCACCAGCTGCTAGAAGTAGGAGGAGAGAAAGTGACAGGAGGTGTGAATGGGTTTTGTATGCATGGGGTCTACGATGAGATCGATTGTGGGTCGGAGTGAGAGAGTAGAGAAATGAGTGTAAGGCATGAGATGAGAGAAGGCGGGAGTGTAGCAGAGAGGGGCATATGTAAATGTGGATGGGGGGATGAGTGAAGTGGGTGTAAGGAGAGATTACAGTTACACTCACATGGTTACAGTCACACACAGGCAGACAATCACACATAGTACAGTCACACACAGGCAGACAGTCACACACACACACACACACACGCATAGACAGTCACACACACACAAACACAGGCAGACAGTCACACACATGCAGACAATCAGCCAGCCAGACAGACACATACACACACACAAACACAGGCAGTCATACACACACAGGCAGACAGTCACACGCATAGACAGTCACACATGCACACATACAGTCACACGCACATAGACAGTCACACATGCACACATACAGTCACACACACATAGACAGTCACACACACACACACATACAGACAGACAGACACACACACACTTACCATTATGAGCTGGCAGGGGGGGGATGGAGGCAGTACAGTTCCTGTATTCTAGTTATTGGGGAAGCATGGAAACCTTCCTGCTTCCCCAATCCTGTGCTGCAGTTATTACCAGGGGCTTCTGGTAGGTTTTAGCCCCACCTCCGCTGCCAAGCCCTGGCCCCACCACTCAGAAGCTCCGCCCCCGCTGCCTCGCTATTTTTTTCATTGACCCTGATGGAGAATAGTGAAATCCTCCACCCGGGTACTTGCATTAGCTCTCCCTGCACAGCTGCCATCTGGCCATGTGTGAGCTGTGTCGGCCACACGGTGTCCCCTGCTCCACGGCACCCTGTGCGGCCGCACAGCTCGCACACCCCTAAGGCCGGCCCTGTCTACTACTATCACGGTCAGAGAAAAACGGAAGTTCCTCAGCAGGAACTTCCGTTATCTCCCCTGAGCTGAATCCTGCAGTGCAGGGCTCAACTTATTGGCCGAGAGTGTTAGCCAATCTGCAGTGTGTGAAGCTCCTGACATGTTCCTTTAATATAGCACCTACAGTTTACTAGCCCCTTCATTTTTAAACCTAGACGTTTTAGTTTCAATTTAAATTGTATTAACGGAATATTGTGTGCTATGCTTACCATAGGAAAGCAGGTGCTATTTGGGGGCAAAGTGCTACATTTTGAAAGATATTCTATTGGTTTCTATGGTGATTATTACACCTTATGCAGCACTTTGCTCGGGAATAGTACCTATTTTTAAGTCAATAACTTATGGCACTATTTCAGTGCCCATTCAGTAAATCTTTTTGGATTCATTTTAGACCAGAAGTTTTGGTCTTCAAATCAAGAGTTACTCCAATCTTCATGTTATGCCAGCCTGCTAAGCAAAAGAGGAGAAGGTGTGCTGTTTTTTACTGACTTTATATGACATTGTGGCGCTCAGTGTATCTGGGCCTCAGCCCAGATTAAACAGGCTTTATTTGTGTTCCACAAATGTTGCAAGAAGATAAATCGTAATTAACAAAAAAATAGTAGAACAATCTGTGTGTGCAGTGCTTCCTTTAAAATACGGTATCATGAAAAACTTGTATATACACAAAAATATATATTTTTCTTTGTGTTGCTCTTTCCTGTGCCAGGTTGTGATACAAATAAAAGAAAGGTTTGCAGACAGGGTGAAATAGGGCGTCAAAACGATTTGCTTATTTCTGATTTATTTTCCAGTGTTGTGTCACGATTACCTCAAAAGGTGGTTTAGTAGCTGACTTGCTGCTACTAGGCCAGAAAAGGGACTTGGCTGCAGTTAAAGGGACACTCCAAACACCTAAAACACCTCAGCTTTCCAAAGTGGTTTATGTGTACAATGCCTGACTCGTTTGGCTTATTTTAAAAAGTGAAATCAGCACATATATGGATGTCGTAAGTTGCACCCTCGCCAATATTTGGCAGACAAGCAGCTGGTGTTCTTTTTCACTCACTTTGAGTGCTTGCTCAGAGTGCGATTGAGAACTCACAGAGAAGCACTGATTTTGATGCTTTACTCAGAGAAGCATTCTATTTATGTAGTTGGTCAATTGCCACACATGACCTCTATGAAGAGCACTGATTTTGCCCAGGAGATCTACCAGGGAAAAGTAGAGCCACTCTAAGGAGACATACGCACACCACACCACACCATGAAGAACCCTCTCCACGCATACTACACCACAAACAACTCAAACCACATACACAAACGACATCACAAACAACCTCCCCAATATGCAGCCACCCGTATACACAAACCCACAAGCTGCACCCCCACATGCAAATCCCACTAACAGTATCCCACCCACATACAAATGCACGGGAAGCATTCCCCAAATTCACATTCCCACAAGCAGCCCGCCATACTAACAAAATACAACAACCCAGACAGCCTCCCCAGACACTCACACTCAAACTGCACTGTCTCTCAACCTGGTCCTACACATTTGTCCTTTGATATTTCACTCGTGGGGATGTCAGAGGCAAATTACAAGAAAGCACAGAAAAAAGCACTTCATTAAATTGATTACATTGCCTTTTGCTTTTCAGCAGAGCTCTGCTCATGGACTGCCTTGCCCACTTTGGTGATTACACAACATGTCCATTCTCTGGCCAATTCCCTACTATTTTGCAGCTCTTCCTTTAAATGCCTAGGTCACTTTTTTTGTCCCTGTCAAGCCCTCTTCAAACATCACCAAAAGACCAGGTTTTGATGGTATCTCCACTGGAACAAAATCTAAATCATGGACTGCTGATCTGCATAAGGATAAGGTTTAGAACCAATGCTCTAGTGTCATATAATTATGTTGAATGCAATTGTGAATGAACGAGAATATCCTCATTCGCTTCATCACTCAAAGCAGTGGCTACAAACGTATCTCTCGTCAAAGTCAGAAAACACATAAAGTAGCAGATGTGCAAAATGTGAAATATTCAAAAAGGCCAAACAGTGCCCAGCTTTTTTCAACTTTTCCCTTGTTAAATCCTTTCTATTCCACAAGCGTAAACACATATTTAATGCTTTGTGGACTGTCTCTTTCTTCCAAGAAAGCAATTTAACCAACTGATTTCAGTGATCATACGAGAACAAGATTTAAGCACCAGCACTACAAAGTCTTCTCTATCAATAAAACATGCATTTTCTAGTCACAAAGAGAGCAAATCTGTGTGTTTTATGGTAGAAGTACCTTTTAAAAAACGAATAAATAATTAAAGGTGTAGGAAGATGCATTTTCAAATTACACTTCATTAAAATTCCATGCTCTTAACACCACTCCAGGGTGGTTTAAAGAAGCCATTCCGATTTCCCCGGTGTTCATCACATTTTTAAGACTAAATATAGTGTTAGGAACCTTGTCATTTTAACTTTTAAAGAGACCGTACCGAGAAATTATTCATAAATCACATCAAGTTGTTCTCGCTTTATTGATTACAGGCTAGGATTTAAAAATCCAATATAATCAGGTAACACAAGAAGAGGGCCTTAATGCCATCGTGATGCAATAATAGTTGTGTTCTTGGAGTCTGTCCACAAACAGTCAAGTTGCAGGCTTGCACAATGTTGAACGAAATACACAAATTGGTGAAAATGTTACTGCTAGGCATTAAGTTCTTCTTACAATCCTGTTAGTTGAAAAAATGTCTAAATGACTTCAGACTGATGACTAGATAGGGATGAAAATCCAAAATAATTGACTTGCTATTACAAGAGCGGCATTTAGCAAAAACTGCATTATAGCCTATCTAATTGGCTATCTGGTTCAATGCTATGGATCCTGTGGATCTTTGTGAATTAACCCATCACATAAAGTATTACAGATCTGATTCTCAATTAGAATTCTACAACACTCCATTCATGTGTACTGGCTTGAATCTTTAACCCCTTCTCTCCCAACCAATGCATAGACTGCATTCAAAAATCAATTGCAATGAGCTCCAATATTTATTGCACTCCTTTACTCATGGACTAGTCTTCACTTGATGGAGAAATAGATGTATCTGCCACCGCTCTGGACAATCCCTTATCATTGCACACAATGACTGTAAAGACATATCTGACTCACTCCACACTGTACCAAGAGCTAGCAAGGTTCAGTACATACAGTGCAGCATTCTAATATATGGGGTGGTAAGGAGGGAATAGTGGCTCTGAGCATGTGTTTAGGCAGACGTTCATGGCCATATAAAATACAGAGACGTTGTTTTAACAAGGCAAATCTATTTACTCTATGTAGGCATTATATTTTGTAACACCTACTCACTCACTGCCAGCAATAGGACTAGCACTAGGGACAGGGGAGATAACTAAGGGACAGGAAGTTGGAGCTCTAAGGAATGGGTGATGAGAGCACTAATGGACTGGAGGGGAGGGGATATTACTAAGGGACAGTGGGGCAAGGGAGAGCACTAAGGGATCAGTGGGGTGGGGAGAGCACTAAGGGACAGGAGGGGAGATGAGAGCATTAAGGGACAGAAGGAGAGATCACTAAGGGACAGAAGGGGGGAGCTCTAAGGGACGGGTGGGTAGAGCATTAATGCACTGGATGGGAGGGGATATCACTAAGGGACAAGGGGGCAAGGGAGAGCACTAAGGGAGAGAGGAAAGAACTGAAGGACAGGAGGTAAGGAAAGATCACTAAGGGATAGGAGGGGAGAGCACTAAGAGATAGGAGGAGAGAGCACTACGAGACAGGAGGGGAGTGGAGAGCACTAAGGGACAGGAGGGGAGAACACTAAGAGACAGGAGGGCAGACCTCTAACGGACAGTGAGAGAAGAGGAGACCACTAAGGGACAGGGGGAGGAGAGGAGATGAGACCACTAAGGGACAGGGGAAGTGAAAGAGATCATTAAGGGATGGGCAGAGTGTAAGACAAATCGAGGAAAGGGTGAAAGAGAAGCACAGAGGAGCTGGGAAGAGTAAGACACGCAAAAAGGTTGGTAGAATGTAGGAGACATACAAAGAGGGGGGTAAGAGACACACACGGTGCTTGTAAAAGATAAACTAAAGGGGGGTGTAAGACACAAAACGTAAAGAAATCATTATACAAAAAAAAGTATATTAACAAAATAAATATAATAATAAAAATAAAGAGCTTCTCCCCTCTCAACCCCTATCCTACCCCACAAACCCTCTCTTTCACACTACACACATACACAATGCATCCTTACCCATACACAGAACCACACAATGCATCCCCACACACACACACATGCACAGAAACATACCATGGGAACTCGTGGGTGGGCCATGTAGGTGGACTTATGGGTGGGCTTTGTAGGCATACTCACGGTCAGGCCCTGGGGGCCCAGACATTGGCTGTGTAAGGGGCCCCAAAAATGTAGCTGCTTCCTGTTTGTTGTTTTTTTTGTGAGCACTGTTACAAACAGCCTCCAGAGAGCCTGTTCTACACTAGACCAGTGGAGCCAGACTGCAGCCTGAGCCCATCATCATCCTCTTGTCCTCATATTGTGGTAAGTAGGAAATCCAGTATATTATTAGTGACAGCTTAATGTAGTGGTTCTGGTGTCTAAAGTCTGTCCATGCAGGCTTTTTAATGTAAACCCACTGCCTTTTCAGTGAAAAGACACTGTGTGCAGCACTGGCAATGGCCCATATGGCAGATCATATGGGTGGGGCATTGTGATGTCACATGGTGGGCAGAGCATATGGGGGAGCGGCACATTTTTGTTTGCCTAGGGCGGAAAAATCCTTGCACAGGCCCTGTCTGAATGATAGGTCACCAAAATTATTTGTTTTCCCTAATTGTACTAATTTAACTAATCATCCAATGTTTAAACAAATATATATATATATATATATATATATATATATATATATATATATATATATATTTCATTGTTTACAAAAAAATTTAAGAATTTCAGTACCAAAACTGAAAAAAGTTATATTAATTTTGTATAAAAGGGTAAAAATTGCAGTAGCATTGGGTCAAATTACAAACCAAAGGTGGTTATGTTTTTTCTAAAAGACTGTGTTAGCATCCACCAAAAGATGATACAAAAGATTCAGATAACTGCAAACTGCAGCCTTTTCTCAAGAGCTTGCAATTTAATTTATAGGGCAAGGTACTGTGGATTTAGAAGGGTTTTTCCCAGCTCTCTGTTAGGAACAGAAGACACTAGACACTGTATTGATATAACGTAGCGACATAATTTGCAAGTTTACTATCTAAAGGTAATAATCTGGGAGTTGACATACAATTGTAGGAGTTATTTGAAACAATGGCCAGCTATCAGGGGATATGTGCAAATACAGTGTAATTTGTCAAGTAATTAAAGGGTCATGTAATTAAGAAAGGTGTAGCAAGGGCGGGAGGAGGGGTTGGAGGTTTAATGCAGGGCAGATAAGAAAATATTAAGGCCTTTTAGTGCCACAGTGTCACTATTATGGCACTTAAAAGGATACATCAGTATATGAGTCATTGTACCCTTGTTATTTCTATAAACTCAGTTTTGAATGACCGTTTTCTTTTTTGTTTTTTTCATTGGGTTATCTACGTTACAACTGCATGTAAACATCGGCTTTGTATCAAGAGGGTTTCTTAACGATAGTAAGCACACAGTTCATGGACTGCGGTATGAAAACGGCATGGAAACTCTTGGAGGAAGAATAGCAATTGTCTCCCTCAAATTTCCTATAAACAGCACCCACCAGAAATCCTTTCCTTTCCAGACCCACACGCTCATAAAATGAAAGCCATCTGCCTTAAATATGCAATTTCCCTCTTTTTTTAGATGTATTTTGTACATACTGGTTATTCATGTTAGCAGTGATGAGTGTAATTTCTTAGGTAAAATACTAAATGCCAGAAACTGAATAAAGAATTATTTTTTTTTTTTGTCAATGAACTGGATGAATTAGAATTGACATTAAATTGATATTTTATTCAAAACAATCACTTAGGGGAGATTCCCTTCATAATATGCACAGTCTATTCTCAATCTAACCTTGTTTGCTCCTGTACATTGTGTGATGTAAAATAACACAAAATGTGTAGCTTTGGGCACTGGGCGGCCATCTTGATTCTCAGTCACAAAAAAATAGTTTTAATGCTACCTGAATGATTTTATTATAGCTGCCAAAAATAAATATTTTATAGTGAGCTGGAAAAAGGGGAAAATGTGATATTATGATCACCATGTGTATAGACTTTACCACAACAGCTGTTTCCTGAGTCCTGGCATATCTGCTTCAAAAGCAGAATGGACCCAGTAACACAGCGACAGGGGTCTGGTGCATACATTTATCATTCATCAGTCAGTCTTCTTTGTACACACCCACGAATATGCACTTTGACAAAAAAAAACAAAAAACTATGAGCAAGAGCAAAAATTTTTTAAAAGAATCAGTTACAGAATATTAAAGTTGCAGATCATAAATAACAGTGTTTTTAAAGAAAATAATAGTTGTACCATTTTGTCATTTTTATGTGCTCTGAATGCATACTGCAGTCCATGTATATCACATATTTTCTGTATGTACGCCTAGGCTATTTTGCAGAATGTGTTTGCCCCATAATGCCACATTCTCCATGTTATCTTGTTGCCATGTATGATGTATTGTTCTAAAAAAAAAAATTACCTCATATCTGTGGTACATGTGCCCCGTATACATGTGTGTTACCCATTGCTCTTTCAATAAGTTTTCATATTGTCACTCATACTTCCCAGTATTGTGTCACATTTTCTTACCAAACTGTCTGACAATGTAAAATGATTTGGGGAAACCGAAACCATGGTTTGATTCATATCATCCAAATGTCATTTTAATATTTTTCATTTGAAACTAAATTCTGGGAAACCTATCTGATTTCTAGCCTCTTATTCACTGCTAGAGAGTGAGGAGTCAGGCCTGCCTGTGGGACAAATAAAAGCCTGTGGAAGTCAATCCGATCCCCATATTGCTATAAGAGATGGCTTAAAACCTTCCTTATGACCCCACCTGCCATGCTGTGGGTTGGGCCATGTCTACTAAACTGTGAAATGCCAGTTGCTGCTTGCTGAAATAATAGAATAGTGTCTGGGCAGCTATTTCTCCCTAGTTACTATTGTCACCCCCCCCCCCAATTACCCACAGTGGGCCTTAAATAGAATAATAAAGTGAGGGGGACATAGTATTCCCCTGTGCACCCCACCCATAAACACGGGTGGGGGCTATTGAATAAAATGAGGGGGGTCTAATGTGTACTTCAGCACCCATCCATGAGCTGCATGGGCTCTAAATATAATCCCCTGGGGGGATCTATTGTGCACCTCCAGTCCCCACTCTTTGGCAGCAGGTGAAAGCTATTAATTCAAAAAGAAATGGGAGGACTTACTGTTCCCATCAGACCCCACCTATTGGCGGCATGTGGAGGGTATACAATTTATAAACCTAGTTGGGGAACTAATGCTCCCCTCGACCCAAGCCCATTTGTGGTGGGTGGAGACTATCATTAACCATGGGGACATCATGTCCCCACTAGCCCCCACCCATTAGCAGCATGTGTGGGATATTATTATTAACCTGGGGAAATTTAAGGTTCTCCCCAGCCCCCACCCTTTGATGGTGGGTGGGGGCTATTACTATTATTAACCCAAGGGTCCTTGGGAAAATTGTAAATTCCAAATCTTGAAACAAACAAAATGGCTTACCCATTACCCAGTCTGCTTTTTTCGTGATTAGGCCATATAGTTGCTCAATATTTAGATTTTTGGACGAACTAACTAGCTCTCTAAACTCGGATGAATCGCGATTCAACCGAAATCGAATCTCCATTTATAGTTGTTACATTATAGCAAATCATAAAGTTACATATCACCTAGCACTGGATTATAACCAGTGCATTCTAGGTGCTGTTCAGAATGTCTGCCAAGCCAATATAAGCTTCCCGTACCTGCAATAATGAGCAGTCAGAAGCCTTTAGAAGACTAGGCTAGTATGTAAACTCCGACAGCAATAAACCTTTCAAATTGGCTTTGTCCAAACTGTCACAATAATAAAACTGTCACTCTAAAACATGTCTCTTTTAATGCTAGTATTCAGAACTGCTTTCTTTTTTTTCTTCACAATTGCAATTGTTTGACTGAAAGAAAAAAATCACTCAGTTTTGTGTAATATATTATATGTCAATGTGCTGAGTTATCAGCTGTCTATCAATAAATATGATGCTTAGAGACATTACATGGGATTACATAGTATAATGTCCCAGTAATGTAATTTGTATCACAAGTAATGCTCAGAATTTGGAAAGGCGTTATGCTGGC